CAAAAAACTGTACAGAATATTCCGTGTCAGAATTCTTGCCGTTTTTAACCCAGAAGTCTTTTATTATTGGGCCGATTTCAAAAAATGAAAGCGATCTAAAAGGCCATAAAATGCTCTAAATGTACGATTTTGAAATATTGAAATCTAAACATTTTAGCAAAACAACTGAGTTTGAAAGTCGCAACTCAATGGCCTCATAACTCTTTTTCAATTGGTCCGATTTCGGCAAACCCAAATGTGATCTGAAGAACACAAAACCTCACATCTTTCAGTTTTTTAACCGTGGAAATCGGTTGGAAACTCTAGAAGTTGGGCAAAAAACTGCATAGTTTTCTGTGCAGTGCGTTCTGCGTCAGACTTTAGATGGTTTTACCCATAACTCTTTTATTATCGGGCCGATTTCAAAAAACCAAAATCCGTATAAAAGACGCTTAATTTCTCTCAATTTTTATTCTTTGAGCGTAAACATCCGTTCAAAAATGAAGAAGTTATGGAGAAAACAAATTTAGAAATTTGAAAATCAAAAAACAATTTTTCCCCCAAAACCCTTTTTCAAAGATGCAATTTTGATGAGTGTAAATGCAGTTTAGATTGGAAAAAAATCGCTTTCTTTCACAGTTTGAATTGTTAAAATAGGTGGACAAATCGATAAGTTATGTAGAAAACTGCGCAGAATATTCTGAGTCAGACGTGTGGCGTTTTTGGCCATAACTATCTTAGTATGGATGCGATTTCAAAAAACCAAAAGCCATGTAAAAGATGATTTATTTTACTAAATTTCGCCTTTTGGAACGGGAAAATCCGCCCAAAAATGTGGAAGTTATGAAGAAAACAAACATTTGACATTGACAGCAGCAAAAAGCTCAGAACTGCCTTTTTTGACATCCCGAATTCCAAAAACAGAAAGGGGTTTTAAACAGTGCAAATTTCCTCATCTTTCGGGTTTTTCAAGCGTGGAAATCGTTTCGAAAATGTAGAAGTTAGGTGGAAAAGTGCACAGAATATTCTGAGTCAGAAATGAGGCCTTTTTACCCATAGCTCCCCTACTATTGGTCCGATTCGAGAAAACCAAAAGCCGTTCAAATCAGCCCAAAATTCCCCAACTATCCAGATTTTTTGCGCGAAAATCGGTTGAAAAACCTGGAAGTTATCTGGAAAATTACACAGAATAGAACATTTTTTTGGCCATCGCTCACTTATCCCTCAAAGGATTCGAAAAAACTCAAAAATAAAAAAAAGCGACTTAATTCCTCAACAACTCACTTTGGGAAAAAACCAAATCCGATCAAAGGCGGCCGAGTTTTGTGTTTTTTTGCTGGGTCGCCTGGGCAACAAACCGCGACGAGCCGGCAACAGCGGCCACTCTGGATAGGCTGTAAATTCGCCATGAGGCGCTTCGGTGCCAAAATGGTGGGGCGCTGGTCGCGGCGGCGCCGTTGCCACATTGTGCATCAAATCCCAGAGCGGCGCCCCCTGCAACCAGCGGCCGCGCCAAAACCAATAAACCTAAAGGCTGTTTTAACCTAATTAATTACGACTAACGCTTAGGACTATTAGGTACACGACGACGGGGGAAATGAGACGAAAAAAAAAACTGATGAAAATTGAAAAACGTCACGTAAATCCCGCTAAATTTTTGACGCAGTTGATGATTCGGCAACGTTGCCCTGGGGGGAGGCGTGGGCGCCGCAACGTTGCCGAATCACACGCATTAGTTAATTTTTCATGACAAATGGAAAACGATTGTGTAGGTCTATATTAGATAATCGGTTCAAGCAGGCCGAAAGGGCGGCTCTTTGGCTGAGCGGGCGGCTCGATTTGTCAAGTTTTGTGAGGCGTCCAGGCCCGAAAGCGTCGCCCAGCGGCTCAATTTATTGCACTGCCAACGTGGCAACGGTGTTCGAAGGGCGGGCGCTGTTGCCGGCCAAGATTTGCGATTTTTTCCTGGGTCGCGTCCGACAGCGGCGCCCCCTAGCTGTGAAACGGCAGCATTTAGAGTTGTTTGGATTTTCGACGAAACTTAATCATGTGTAGACTTATGATCGCGTCTGTCGCAATTTGGTAATCATAGGTTAAGGGCGAAAAATTAAAAAAAATTAGAAAAAAAAACGGACAGAGACAGACTGTTCTCATATTGCTACCCATAACCTCAAAATTATCGTTTATTTTTTTTTGTGGTTAGGTCGTAATGGCATGGACGTTTTGTGATTGTTCAGTTTCATTTTTATATATACATATAAAAACGAATTGTAATTTATATGGATTAATATAACGATAAATCGAATTAAAGAATGCATAAACAAGTACAAACCTCAGTTTTCGCATCGCCAAAGTCGATCGAGTGGCGCGTGACAATTGGCAACGTCGCCCTTGAGGCTTGGCCATATTGTAGAAGCCAAGAGACTAGGAAAAACCAAAACAAAAAAAATGGCAGAAAATTGGACACGAGAATCTGAATCTTCCGACATGCGCACGCATGGCCATTTTTTTCATATTTTCATCATTCTCTCTCACTCTTCTACGTGTAGATTTTCGAAATGGTTTTCCTACCGGTCCGGTTGATTTGTAGCTCCGGAACCCGGATTTTCCACATGAAATTGTGTGGGGTTGCCCCTCGTATTTGTAGTGTCGATACCACATAACCTTAAAAATCGAGGATCACGTTGTGTTCGGATTCAGTTCAATCAGTTTGTTAATTGTTAACATTAATTAAAATAATAAAGATTATTTATTAACAGAATGCGCAGCTTTTTCCTCAAAAGTCGCCCCACTCTTTGCAACGTCACTCGTTGACTGGCCGTGGGATTTTGAAAATTTCCCCACCAAATTGATGCGCACGCGACGCCCTCTAGGGAGCATTTTCCAACCTTCACCCGTCGGGCGCGCAACATTTAAACCCTTCCAGCCGCTGGGGATTTGGTGGGCAACTTTTTCATGCCCCCCGGTAGAGAGCTGGGAATGTTTCAGAAATCCCCAAACCCCTTAAATCACGCTCGATTGTCTTCCACGCACTGTTGTCGGATTTACTTTTTTTATTATTTAACCCAGCTGGAGTGAAGTCAACATCTCCACCCTTGGCGTTGGTCTCAACATCGTAAACTTCCCTTAAAAGTGGACGAAACCCTTAGGGATAAAACCTTGAGACGCCGCTGGAAAGGCCTTGAACTAAGGACCATTTAAAGGTGTGAAGCACTTTTGTGTCTCGAGTGGGGGCTGAGAAATTTGACTTTAAATAAGGACTCTTAATGGATGCAGACATCCGCGCACTCTTCCGCTGGTAACTCGTTGAACTGGGGGGGGATTTGGGAAATTTAAAAATTTTTCCAAAGAAGGGCCGATGGTCAACTAAATGGGTGTTCGGGTTGTTGAAACATTCCAGCCTTAACCCGGCTGGAGCCAAGTCAACATTTTTACCCCAGCAGTTACTCTTAAAAGTGCAAACGTGCAACCCTGGGAGCAGGAAATTTTCCAAAAAAATCTGTGAAACGCCACTGCCAAGAGCTGAAAAAGGCTCTCATACGAAGTTAAGAGTGAAACTGACATATTGTCTAGTTCCGGAAAAAAGTGACTTAAAAATCGGGGCTTTTGCAGAGGAAAACTTCAGACGCTCTTTGGCTCGCAACTCATTGATTTTTGAGGCGATTTCGAAAAATCCAACAGGCTCTAAAAGGGCATTCAACTAACCACATAAAACAGTTTTTTGCAAAGGAAAATCTCAAAAAATAACCTCGCTGGCGTCCAGTCAACATTTCCACCCTTGCAGTTACTCTCAGAAATGTAATCATCCCATCCTGGCAACAGAAAATTTAGGAAAAAATCGTTAGCAAGCCGATAGGAAAAGCGTAAAAAGACGCTCATTCAAAGCAAAAAATAAATTCAATGCCTTTAGTAGTTGAGGAGCAAAGTGATTTTAAACATGGCACCTTTGCAGAGGAAAACTTCAGACACTCTTTGGCTCGCAACTCATTGATTTTTGAGGCGATTTTGAAATATCCAACATGCTCTAAAACAGCATTCAACTTCCCACTTAAAACAGTTTTTTGCAATGGAAAACCTGAAAAAATAACCTCGCTGGCGTCAAGTCAACATTTTCACCCTTGCAGTTACTCTCAAAAGCGAAAACTTCTCCCCCTGGCAAGAGAAAATTTAGCAAAAAATTCACCAGCACGCCCCTGGAAAGAGCTTCAAAAAACGCTCATTTGGAATTAAGAACCAAATTCATACCTTTTCAAGTTTCGGGGAAAAGTGACTTTGAAAATGGGGCTTTTGCAGAAAAAACCCTCGCCCACTCTTTGCCTCGTAACTCATTAAGTTTACGGGCGATTTCAAAAAATTAAAAAAGCCCTAAGAGAGCTTTCCATTGGCTTCCACAAATAGCCTTTTGCAATAGGAAATCTTCAAAATTAACCTCGCTGGCCTCAAGTCAACATTTCCACCCTTGCAGTTACTCTCAAAAGTGCAAACTTCCCACCCTGGCAAGAGAAAATATAGCAAAAAAATCACCAGCACGCCACTGGAAAGAGCTTCAAAAGACGCTCATTTGGAATTAAGAACCAAATTCATACCTTTTCAAGTGCCGGGGAAAAGTGACTTAGAAAATGGGGCGTTTGGAGAAAAACCCTCGCCCACTCTTCGGCTCGTCACTCATTGAGTTTAGGGGCGATTTCAAAAAACCAAAAAAGCCCCAATAGAGCATTCAGTTGCCCACCAAAAACACTTTCTCATTTTACCCAAGTCTAACTGAGCTGGGGGCACGTGAACAATGCAACCCTTCCACCCGCTCTCACCTCGGCAATCTTCCATCAACAGCAAAACGAAATTAGTCGAAAAATCCCGAATAACCCCACCCAAAGGGGCCGGAAAGTCCCCTCAAGTGGAGCCCCAAACGAACCTCACAACTAAACCCGTTGGGGAGAGAAACGACTTTGAACCCGCCCGCTCTTCCACTGATAACTCGTTGACTTCCCGGGGGATTTTTACGATTCAAAAAAACCCCCAGCACGACTAAAACTGGCTCAGTTTATTTGGCACAATTCCACATTAAAACGACTTTGTACTAACTCAAAAGCCCTCAAAGGCCTCAATCCATCCTCGCTTTGGCGCCTCCATTAATCCCTCCCAGCAGGCCCCGCCTTTCCATGCTCCTCAAGTACCGGCAGTCTTCCATGGCGAACCTGCAGAACCAATCACAGCCTGCCTCAACCGCCCCCGATACAGCGTGAGCAAAAACAGCCCCATTCGCCCCTACAGGGTGTCCCAACACCACAGTCGGCGGGCTCCAGTACGTACCTGTAGATGTAGACCAGGGGCGGCGCTGTTGCCAAATGCCACAGGGCGTGGTAGTCGACCACGAAAAACCAGGGCGGACTGTCCAGAAGTTCCAGCAAAAGCACCAACCCGGAGAAGATCACGTAGAGCTGGCAACTGTGGACGTAGGGGGGCTTCGGGTGGCACTTTACGCTCCACACCAGCCAGCCAATGGCAGTTAGAGCTCCTAGAAAACCATTTTTTTTCATTCACCCAAAAATGGGTTTTTTTACTGCCTTACCGACATTGATGTTCAGCATAATATTGTAGGCGTAATCAAACCGCCCCCTGGACAAATAGGCGGCATGTTTGAGGAAAAACAGCAAAAACCCCAGGGAGACCAGCAGGACAAGTTGGGGCCTCTTCGGGAAGACCGCGCCCAAAACATGCGGCAACACCCTGCAATCGCACCTGTCACCTTCCCGACTTTCCCAGCTTTCCAGAAAATCGCTCACCGGACGCACATCGCATAGCAGTTGACCAGAATGATGGAAAATGCGCCCACATAATCCAGCCATTCGGTCCAGGGCAGGTCGCGACTGTGGAAAACGGCCGACCAAATCCAGGCGTTGCAACAAACCTGGAAAACCTGTCATTAGACTGACAGCTCGTTGACAGGGCGCGTCGTGCCTTACGGCGCCGTAGAACAGCCAGAGCCAGCGCAAGGGGGCGCCAGCGCGCACCTCGTTTCGGAACTTGTGCAACAGCATCAGGTGCATGAAGAGATTGAGCAGGGAGAACAGCATGGAGGCGGGCTCCTGGATGCCCAGCACCCGCCTGAATGGCCACTGAAACATCAGCTATTGAAAAAATTGCCCAATTAAAAAGAAACTGGGTACCTTGCCGTAAAACTGCGGAATATTCAGCTGGTTTTCCTGGAATTTCTCCACAGTGCTCCACATGCACTGGTACTCGCACTCATCGGCGCAGCCCCACCTCAGCAGCCGCAAGTAGCCGGGCTGCCGATAATCGGTCACAAACTGCCCACCATCTAAAACATTCAGCATCCTCATAAGTTAGTGCGCTGGGCGCAGCCCAGATGGCGCCACATTTCGCCGCAACCTAACCCCAAAAGCAACTAAACAAGGGGCTCTGGCCCCCAACTACCACTCGGGTTTATGCCAACCAGCGGGGCTCTAGGTGATGAGGAAATGGGGCTGCCATACTTGCCTTGAGAGCAGTTGGAGGCCTGGCAGCCTGCCAAACAGCGCCGGTAGTACGGGTTCCGGTCGCCCGACGACCCCAAACACTCGGCAACCAGGGGCAGGAGCAGCAAAGCGGGTTTTCTGGACCAAATCGGCTTCATGCCCGCAGCAGGGTGAGTTTAACTGGGGAAAAACACATTTATAAACACTGGCAATGACAACAACCCCACCTGACAACTGACTGGTCCCAGAGTGGGCGACCTGATCGGGGGCGGGATAGCTGCAAGTGCGAGGGAGACAGCGAGCTGATCGGGCCACAGGCCCGATCAGCTCCACATTCTAGTGGCGAGCCACAGAGGGCGCCCGCCCAGCCTTTTCCCACTGGGTGCGTTTACCCCGCGAGATTACCCGCAGGAAATGCTTGAGTTTGCCCCAGTTTCACGCGCTCGGGCGCTTCACTGTGGGCAAACTTGCTCATTTTTGCCCCATAGCCCTGCAAAGGTGCCCCTGAAGCTCCCAGCCCATTCACTGTCCAAATTCCACCCAGTTCAACGCCGAACAACTGCGAGCGGTGTAACCGCACCCATATTGATTTCCATCCGATCCGGTCGCCATCTTTCAGTTGAGAAAATCGCGTTTCTGTCGAAGGTTGTGCGGTTCAAAGTTGGCACGGTTTTCTCCCATTTAAATGTCGTGTTTTGGGGTGATGGTGTGTGAAAAGTGCTCCAACTGACGGCCCCAGGGGCTCTGGATGTTGTTGCGGCCCCCAACCGGCCCCCATCAGCCGCATTCGACTGGTGAGTGAGCCCCCAAGTTCAATGCTTGGTTATGTCTTGTTTATGACTTACTCCACTTACCTGTGGATCTGTTGATTATCTCCATACGATCGTTTATTGCTCGGAATGAGTTCAATTAATCGCACGAACCGACAAGTTTCAACAGGTTTTCGCTGGGCGAAATGGTTTGTTTGTGTTGGTTGCCAGGGTTACCTGTGTTGTCATCAACGCACTGACTTAAGGGTGGGTTCCCTTGGGTTTTTTGCTGAAGGTTGAAGCCCGCTGTGCCTCATCAGTCAGCGATTGGGGCTTTGATTGGGCCCCAATCGGGCCCAAGGGGCGATTTACAAATCGCCCCCCAAGCCCCAAATGGGGCTGTGGGTGGTTGAGCTAGCGCGAAAGACTTCCACCCTTAATCAGGCGGCTGGACTTAAGACCCATACAGGGGGAGCGCAAAAAATTGCGGAATTTTGTAGGCAAAGTTTCTTTTTCCGGTGCAGGAAAGTTTCATCATCAGGTCAGTTGCTTAGAAAGTCTCAAAAGGTTTTTTTTGCGCCCAAATTATTGAAGTTTTGTGCAATTCTGTAGGGCAAACAGTGGGAAAAGTCTCGTTCTTCGGTCATCCTCTGTTCGTTGTGCAGCAACTTTTATGCTAAACTAGAAGGTTTTCCTTGTTTGCGTTTAATAGGGCAGGGTGGCTTCCATACGTGGACAAAGTTTCGATTTTCCTTCATCATCAGGCAATTTTTGACGATTTTTCAATGTTGCTTGAGGTGATTTTGCAGGCCAGAGTTTAGCATTGATTTCTTCGGTAATTTGCGTGGTGATAGCGTGAATTTTTTATGTCATTTGTGAGGCAAAGTTTCTTCTATAAAGAGACTAAAGTTTCGATTCTCTGCCATCATCAGGGAATTTTGGACAATTTTTTAAAAATGCACTTGGTTTTTGAGCTTATTTTGAATTTTTTAAACTTTTTGCTCCGCAAGCAGCAAAATTAGATCACTTTTTTTGTATGAATTTATTAGGCCAAAATGCTTTCTATAAGTGGACAAAGTTTCGATTTTCACTAAAAATTCGAATTCGAAATCACTAAAAATTGAGACTTTCTTGTGTAAGCGTTTAGTAGGGCAAGGTGTCTTCTATAAGTGGACAAAGTTTCGATTTTTAGTCATGTTCAGGTAATTTTTGACGATTTTTCAAAATTGCGCTTGGTTTTTGCGGTTATTTATGCAGGCCAAATTTTGCATTTTTTTTTCTCAGAAATTACTAGAAATTTGGCCTTTCTTGTGCATGCGTTTAATAGGGCAAAGTGTCTTCTATAAGTGGACAAAGTTTCGATTTTTAGTCATCATCAGGTAATTTTTGACGATTTTTCAAAATTGCACTTGGTTTTTGCGGTTATTTATGCAGGCCAGATTTTGCATTTTTTTCTCAGAAATCACTAAAAATTGAGGCTTTCTTGTGTATGCGTTTAGTAGRGCAAAGTGTCTTYTATAAGTGGACAAAGTTTCGATTTTCAGACATCATCAGGTAATTTTTGACGATTTTTCAAAATTGCACTTGGTTTTTGCGGTTATTTATGCAGGCCAGATTTAGCATTTTTTTCTCAGAAATCACTAAAAATTGAAGCTTTCTTGTGTATGCGTTTAGTAGGGCAAAGTGTCTTCTATAAGTGGACAAAGTTTCGATTTTTAGTCATCTTCAGGTAATTTTTGACGATTTTCTAAAGTTGCGGTTAGTTATACAGGCCGGATTTTTACAATTTTTTGCCTCGGGAATCATTAAAATTATAGGTTTTTTTGTATGCGTTCAGTAGGGCAAAGCGTCTTCTATAAGTGGACAAAGTTTCGATTTTCTCTCATCATCAGGAAATTTTTGACGATTTTTCAAATTTGCATCTGATCCTTTGCAGGCGAGAGTTTGACATTTATTTTCTCTGTAACTTGTGAAGTGTAAAAGTCACTTTTGGAAGTGTTTTCTAAGGCAGAGTTCCTTCGACAAGAAGCCAAAGTTTCGATTTAGAGTCATCATCAGGTAATTTTTGACAATTTTTTCTAAATTGCGCTTAGTTTTGGCGGTCATTTATACAGTCCGGAATTTGATATTATCTTTCTCCGAACCCAGCAACACTAGAGAGTGTCTTTTGTATGTGTTTAGTAGCGAAAAGTTCCTTTGATAAGAGGACAAGGTTTCGATTTGAAGTCATCATCAGGCAATTTTAGACGATTTTTCAAAATGTGCAATTGGTTTTTCCAGGCCGGAGTTTGGCATTTGGCACTGAAAGAGTGGGTTTTGGTTGCCGTTTGTGAGGAAAGCCCTGTTTATAAATCGAGAAAGTTTCGATTCTCAGCCGTCATCAGGCTATTTTCAAGAATTTTCCAAAGTTTCACATTCAAACCTTTATTTCCTTAGAAACTTGCGAAGATAAACAGTCACGATTTTGAGTCATCGATTTTGAGTCATCTTCAGGCAATTTTTGCGAAATTTATTAATGAGCGTCTGATTTGTTGAGTAGCTTTTGCAGGCCAAGTTTGGCAATAATTTTCCGATAGTCTGGAAGAAGAGTGAAAATCACGGTTGTGTGCATTTTGTTGGGCAAACTGTGTTCTCTGTGTGGACAAAGTTTCGAACATTGGCTCATCCTCAGGCAATTTTGTGAATATTTTCATTGTCCGTTTGATTTTTGATGTTGCTTTTGTAGGCTCCAGCTTGACATTTATTTTCCCAAAATCCGGAAAAGCTGGAGTGTCACTCTGGTAGGCATGTTGTAGGCTCAAGTATGTTCTACAAATGTGAAAAGTTTCGATTTTTAGCCAGCTTCAGGCAATCTTTGACAAATTTCTTAACGTGTCTTTGATTTTTAAAGTTGGTTTTGCAAGTCGAACTTTGGGACTTATTTTCTCAGGAACTGGCAAAGCTTGAGAATTGTTTTGGTACGCATTTTGTCAGACGAAGCACGTTCTATATGTGGAAAAAGTTTCGTTTTTGAGTCATCTTCAGGCGATTTTTGAGAATTTTTTTAATATGCGGGTGACGTTTGAAGCTGCATATGCAAGCCCAAGTTTGACGTTTATTTGCTCGGGAATCGGGCAAGCTGGACAGTCACTTTTGCAATCATATGGCAGTGCAGACTTTGTCCTTTCAGCGAAGAAAGTTTCGCAGTTGGGTCATCATCAGGCGATTTTTGAGAAATTTTCGAATGCGTGTCGGATTTTCGTAAGTTGCTGATGCAAAGCGTAGGTTTGCCATTAATTTCTTGCCAACATGAAAATGCCAGAGAATCACTTTTGTGTCCATTTTCTGGGGCATCCTGTGTATTAGAAGCGGCAAAAGTTTCGGTTTTTGTGCATCATCAGGCTATGTCCAAGATTTTTTTTAGATTTGCGTTTAGATGTTGCGCTGTTTGTAAGCAGTTTGCATTTTTTCCTCAGGACCTGGAAAAATTAGACGATAAATTTTGTGTG